GCTTCATTCCACAAGGCCACTCTGGATAAAAGAAAGGATAGTGAAATACAACTTTGTTCCAGCAAACCTTCCCCCAGCATTACCAATACTAGAACCCTGAACAGTGGAAAACCCATTTGAAAGCAGGTAAGCAATAGTAACAAAGGACTAAATATGAGATACAATAAGGGGTAAAGCAGAGAAACTGCAAAGTGTAAAAAGCTGCAGAGGTAGTAGAACTTTAAAAGCAAAAATAGACCATAAATTCAAGGAACAGACTTCTTTCCATGTCTACCACAACTGGTATTTTAACCCTTTGAACAAAGATATTTTTTGAAAAAGGAGATAAACCAATCAAATTAGCTTTTTGCTTACTTCCATCTACCATGCTTAACATATTTTTAACCAAATTTAAATGCTCGAGATAAACTGTGAAGAAAATTACGGGCCACATGTAGTTAAATTGAACTGTACCTGTCTCTCACAGGTTTCAGTTGAAGTTTTGCAGTGAAAAACACACTCTTCTTCCACAGATTCAGTTTGGCCACTTAACCATCCTTCTTTCGAACGAGCATGCGCTCAGAAGATCTACCTCAATCCCAGTGCTTCAGACTATGAAAAAAATCAGCTGCTGAGTCAGAGCAGCAATTTAATAGCTGCAACCTTGATACTGTAGAAAGAAAAAATATTAGTATCTCCTCTATAATGTTTAGAGTGGACAATAGGCCCAACTGTTTGGCTTTGAGAAACTGAGAGTGCAACTTCTGCATGATGTTAAAAATATCTATATAAATATTTTGAAAATTCACATACACTCAGGTGACCTTTTTTCATGCTATTGTTAAACATATATTCAAATAAAGGCAAAATTTAACCAACATTTAACATGTTAAACTCCTTGAAACTCTTCTTCCTCACATTTCCCAGTTCTGAAGTTCAAGTCACGTATTGATGAGACACCTTCCACACATTTCCTCCAATCTCTCATTTGTACAGCAGGAAATAAAAATGTGTAATTGCTATTTGCTAATGAATATAAGTAAACTCCTCAGCACCTCGTAAGAAAACACGCAAATACACTGCAAAAATTAGGAGCTACCAACTTGTGTAAGTATATCTACACTATTGTCCAGACGCTGAGTGCTCAACACCAAGACTATTGACTACTGGCTTCAGAGTGGATTCTTTAAATCAAAATGTCTGATTTGGATTTAAAGACTGATTTCTCTTGGCTTACACCTATGTCTGTTCATTCATCTATTCTTTAACCCCCCCCCCCCAAAAAAAAAAAAAATTCAACCAATGAACCAACTGAAAAACAAGACCAAAACAAAACAAAAAACCCACAAAAACAAACCAGAAAAAGGAACAAAACCCCACACCATAAACAAAACACCTGTTAAAAAGGCGAAACTCTAAGCATCTCCAAATCTTGCATTAAAAATATGCCACTCTTCTCATGCATTGTTGCAGCACTGTAAAAACAAAAGCATATTTTTCAGTGTTTCCTTAATCTTTTCTTCCTACACTACTTCTGCCAAGGGGCTTATAAACAACATCCAATACTCATCATAGTATCAAAAGATGAATTTAAATGGCTCTAAATGAGAAGTGAAGAAAGAAACATCCCTGCCATTGTGTCTCCTGGACTGGAAAACTTGATTTCAAAGCACTGCAAGCCTTTTAGCACTGAAATAAGAGTTTGAACCAGCAGGCTACAATGGCTTAGCACACTTAAACCTGAATATTAATTCTAGTGAGGAAGAGAAGTATGGGCCAGTTATTGCTTTCTTTGGAGACAAATAATGTGATTTTCAGAATTACAGGAAATCCCTGTTCTCATGTGTTTTCTAGTACTAGCTAAGTATATAAATGAAATTTGCTATACAAATACTACAGAACAATTAAAAAGGCCTACTGCTTTAGAAAAGAGAAAAATGTAAAATAAATTTTTTATAAGGCATTTTAAATATTAAGCAGACTTTGCATTAATTTATATATTAGAAATAACACATACTTTAAGCAGCATCGTATCTACTCCTACACAGCTGGATTGGGTATATTTGTCGCTGCTTCATTTTGAGTAACTTTAAATATCATGATTTTCAAAATTCATGTAGCTCATATGTTATTAGAGAACCTGAACAAAGCTAAAAAATAATTTAAAAAAGGATACAAATAAATTTAAAGAAGTGGATACAAGATGAAAAGTACTACATAAACACAGAGTCTAACTGTGGTATCCTGAGTACTCAGATGATCCCTCTTTAGTACAGAACAAGAATCCACTGTAGCCTGAAGGACTCGAATCTAACCATTCTCAGAGCACTTGTCATGCATACAGTTTGTCATTTGTTAAGTGGAAACAAGCACAGGAAGCTAATTTGCTCTGCAACCAGTCAGGCCTCAAGAGAGAAAAGAAACTGCCTATTGAAACACAGATACTTTCTGAATAAACACAGCACTTAAATAGTTCAGCTAGTCCAACTATAGCACAATTGTGCTATATCACACAAACAAATGAGACAAGAAGTGCTGAAATTGTTGGTCACACACGCAGACGGAAAATATTACTCCTTTATATTCACTGGATCTTGTAGGATGCACCTTAACAGCCACAAAAAAGACTAGTCTCAATATCTCATTGCATATTGGCAAAGCCAGTGATTGTGTCCCATTCCTAGTTTGAAAGAGCAAAGTGAAACAGCACAAAAATCACACTAGTGTTCCAAGTATCTGGCACACTCCCTGTTCTCCCAACACTAAGGTTCATTTAGCTTCTACTCTTGAAATCACAACAGAAGTGAGGCATCCCAAGTACTCAGAGCTTTTAGGCATCATCGTCACTGTCTATGAGCCCAAATAAATTTGTTTCTTTACAGTAGATGGAGGAGGAAAGCAAGATGTGGACAAATATACCCAGGTGTGTGCTGTCAGAGGGAAATACGAGAAAGCATACCTCAGCTGCAAGGCTGACCTTTGCACTACTTGGCATTGCCACCGCATCTCTTCTTGCTATGTTGGAGAAAAGGCAACCGAACAGTTAGGTATGGGGTTCGTGTTCTACTGGCAATTGCAAGAACATACCTAAATTCTCAATGACCTGCTGGTAGTCTGGATTTACTGGCTTCCTGAAGATGGGGTGGAGTGGCCTCCCTGCAATATTTTGTTCTAGGAGGCCAGAAGAAACCACCCAAGTCAAGACTGCTTTCTCAGCCTGTCTTTCCCCCTGAAACTGGCAAAGCCATCAACTTCTGTAAAACACCTTGGGAAAGCAGAGACAAGGAGACAGACTGCCATAGCTAGATACAGCCTGGGGAACTGGGTCCCATACAGAGACTTCACTAAATAAAATTAAAAAAAACCTGAGGGGGGTCAACCATTTGCACAGCATTCTGTAATATAGAGTTTAACTGCATCATTTTCTAGGGGAGACAGGATAATTTTGGGGTGGAGGACGTTCCTCTACTGCCAACAGGTTAACCAGTTCCAGCTCTACCTACACACTCCATCACAAGAAATCTATAAACCTTCACATGGAAAAACCTCAAGCAATTACGTGCATTTCCAGTTGCAGTTCCATTTCAAATGACTGTGTAAGATAAGAGAGGGGGAAGGGAAATTATGTAGTTAAAAGGATTAGTACAATTCAGGCAATATAAAGCATCCTCTTGAGCAGCTGTGTCACATGTGGATAAAATTCCTTGTTGATAAACAAAAGAGAGAAAAGATTTGCAAAGGCACTGCAGGTCTACTTGCCAAAGTGAAGAGACTCAAAACTTCTGCAGAAGCTGATAGGCATCATGAATAGCGAATGTACCTAAAAATTGTTTACAAAAAAGCATATTATAATTTCAGTTAAAGAACTAGATAAAATTGGCAATGCTCATTAGCTAAATTTTAATGCAGGCTGATTCAATTTGATCTGGCATTACAAGAGATAATGGAAGCACTAATGTTCCATCTACATAAAAATTGCTTCTGGCCAAACTTTCTTTTGTTTCCTTCAAAATACATTTAACATCAAAGAGAACAACTAAATCAGATGACACTGCAAGACTTATTACGGTAAACTGCCTTAACCTTCTTCAATACTTTAAAGAAGTGGTGGCCTTAGTTGGCCCCTATTTTAACAGTTTTCCATTTAAATTGTCATCATATCTTGCAAATCAAATCTGTTCTTTGGCTCTTCAGACTCTCTCGTGACTATTTCTCTTCTTCCACCTAAGCTAAAAAAGGGCTACAGCCAACTCCATACATTAGCACATGAACGCAACCATCCTGACTCTACTAACACCACCTTCTACAAAGCACTCCTCAGTTACAGCAATTATTGCTGCTGTGCTGTTTTTCTTGCAGGGTAATAGAAGGATTGACTATTTATCTCACACTTCTTCAAGCTTTGTGCTATTTGCTTCCTACTCACTTCAAAATCGAAATCATCTATGAACTCTGCTCATCTACCATTCACTTTACTCATTAAAACATGATCAGTTTTTCCTGTCATCAGAGTTTCATTAGCATTGTCACAAAAGGCAACTATGAGCCATGATTCCTAACATGAAACATTTATCCTTTTTACCCAGTTAGGTCTCTAAATTCAGACCAACATGGTCCCATGCAATAAGAACAGCACAGCCTATGCAGTCAAAGGACACTGGAGGAGAGGAGATTCCTGCTCCTTGAAACTTCAGCTCTTCAGAGAGGGATGATAAGGTCTGTACAAACCAGACAGAAACAACGCTGCCCTGAACATTGCACGACATAGTCCAAGACTTCAGTTTCCCTTTGTTGGCTCATACTTCCATCCTTATATTTAATACTGTTGGTTACCTGTCAAAGTACTTTTGATGTAGTTTGTAAAACATCATTATGTTTAAATTGAAAATAAAAACACAACAGAAGATAATTTAAAAAACAGCACTCCCCCTCCCTCTTACCCTTTAAACAAAAAAACCAAAACCAAACAAAAAGCCCCAAACAAAACAAAAATACCCCATACACACACTCAAGAATTCAAATTTATTTACAGCTTTGGCCAGTACTGCCTGGATTATCTTTATTGAATGCTGTACATACTCAGAATACAAAACATCACATTTTTTCTATTGAATTCCTTCTCTTTGGATTTCTGCCAGCAGTACTTTGATTACACTGACCCGTATTGAATAGCACCTTAGAAATGGTGGAATTTCAAGTTAAAAGAAGAGGAAAAGAAACAATTGTCAAAACCAGGAAAATACCAAGAGTGTATATTAAAGCTTTTGAAATGCACACACACACACACACACACACACACACACACACACACAAAACCAAACCTAGAACTGAGAACTTCATTATTCAGTATCAGTTGAGACACTTATAATGTACTTTTTACAATCAAGTACTTAGATGGAGTGTTCTACTGCCAAGTATAAAAATATGAAAATCATTATATTAATCCTTGTGCAGTTACTCATCGCAGTTGAGAGGCAATTTGCTAGAATAAAACTGGGTATCTAAGAAAAATTATCTAATTATTCACAAAAGAATGTCAAGTATAAGTAGTACAAAACATTTCTACCCCATGTTGAATCTATAAATAGATTATAAAAATTACAATTAAGAAAAAAATAATAATCACATATTATCAGGCGAGAGATCCCTGTTCATAGAATCCCATGTAAACAAAGCTGGTGAAAGTAAAATATATCCATTGTATAAACTGAATGCAAATTCCAAAAGGAAAAATAACTAAAATTCACATAATCTTATATTTTTCAATATATACCTTTTAAATATTTTCCATTCTTAATTTAGCTGGTTAGCTGTATCCTTCTTTTGACTAGAAATATGGTACAACATCTTCCACTTCAATTGCAAAATCCTGTCAGATTCTGCCTTGAGAAAACAAGAGTCAAGATGTTCTCCTTAACAGGAATAGCTCATACGTGTTACAATGCACTTTATCTTCACAAGGTTAGAAGTATGAAGGCTCTTATTGCAAGTGGGAAGCACTATAAATCAGCTACTTGATTTGTTCTGGACATCAAGCACCAAGATAACTGTTTCATTTTTCAAACGAAGGACGTCCCTGATTCTTTCCATTCTGTACTAAATGAAAATCCTTGTATCGCAGTAAAAAAATTTTTTTTGCATCTTACATAGCTCTGTTCATGGCTAGAGAACATTTAGCCATTAGTCATAGCACAAAGCAACATTTCAAAGTATTAAATTCCTATTATTTCTTCAACGTTATTAATTTTAACAAATTTGAGCAAATATTAATATAATTTCCTTACAAAATTTGAAGCAACATACTTAATACGCAAATCAAAATTTAAGGATTAGAATAATGCTTAATAAAACCACAATTGCATGCAAGTTCATCTGAAAAATATGCATAAATGTACATAAGTATACATAAAGACAACATGAATAGAACAATGAAATATAATTCACATCTTAATGAGTATCAAACATTTAGCACAATTTTGTTTCCATCTTAAAAAATGAATTATCTTTGCAGTGGTCAGCACATTAATCACATCTTCCGTAATACATAAAGAATACCAAGATTATCAACAGTCACATACACTTTGAAATTAGGGGACACACGTATTGACTTGAGGTTTGTTCCATTTGTGTAGAAGGTCTGTAAGGATTCTCCAGTATTTACATTCCACCACTAAAAAAAAGAAAAAAAGAACACACTTTCAGTTTGTTGAAGGATGCTTAGGATAAATTCTATCAACAGGCTTACCGTGGCAAGCCCAGGTGACTGCTTTTCCCAAAAAGGTAGAATTAGAAATTAAACCCAAGAAATCTTCAGTAGAAAACATTTAGGACCACTTAGCAGAGGCGTAAGACTTTCAAACTTCAAAAAGACCAAAGCCATACAAACCAATAAATTGAGGTACTGCCTCTTGCCTCACCACAAAATGAAAACAATAGACTTAAACTGTAACATGCCCAAAATTTAAAAGATCATGCATTTTTATATAACCAAATGAATATATGAAACACATTGCCAGACATTGTAACTGAAACTATGGTTGGGTTAAGGAACTTGGCTGGATTCACAAGAGGATCAATCATGTACACATTTGAAACCATTTACAATTTTGTTAGTAAGACAGACTTTTTTGCCAGTGATATCTGAACTTTTCTATTTTTTTATTTTTTTTTTAGGATCTACAGTAAGCACCAGTAACAAAGATACAGAGAAACCTTCCACCATCTGTTTGCTCCATGAATGTAGACTGAAATCTGAAATTTCAGATTTCTTGGAAAAACTGTAAACCAATGCAAAATGAAACTAAACACAATCCAGCACAACACTTTTACCTGACTGTTCCAATGCCCTCTATTCTTTCAAAATTTGAGTGCAGTAGCAAAATATCGAAACAGATTACCTTCAGCTTTGATCATCTATAAAAGGTGGTCTTACTACTTATTATTCACCTCATGAAATACGTAGCACTACAGTTGCGTGCATAACACAGATTTATAACTACATAGCAATAATAATATAAAAATAACAAAAATCTGAAGCTAATAAGAATTGAATAGATGGCGTTCAAAACCAAACTCCAAGTCTAAGTCTAAATTTGTATGAGACCTTTTCAGGACGGTTTCAGATTTCAGAAGAGGTGAAGAGAGCTTAACAGTCATGAAAATGGAACAGCTTTGTGTTAAGTAAAACATCTCAGGTTTCTTTATTTGAATTAGTCTGCATTTTCATTTAGAATTATCAGAATATTGCCATTTAATTAGGCACGTTCGGATATTTGATTATTTAAGGGCTTACCTTAAGATAGCCTCCAGAGGACACAAGTATTTTACTGTCAGGTGAAAATGAGAGGTCTGTTACCCAACCACCATGTGTTGGTTCTCCTTCATCTACAGTAACTGGGGAGCAGGAGTGAACTAACGCACCTGTTAACATGTCCCAGATCTAAAACAGAGGAAAGAGTATGGGTATAAGTAAACCTAAGCAGGAAGAAAGGGGGAAACCTCAAGTACGAAAAGCTGAAATGTATTTTTTTAATATTAGATAACAAAACCATTGCAAATAAGCATTCTACTTGAAGTGACAAAATAACCAAAATAAATGATTCTCCTCTTAGAACTGTAATGTATATCGAGGATTTGATCATGCATGCAATTCACAGTAGAATTATTGGTAAATTATGTGAATCAGTTCCTCAGCATTCACAGGACATAAATCTATTAATATGGTTACAAACTAATATCTCATGTGGCAAACTTTCCTATTTTTGACTTCCCAATTTTCACCACAATGTTAACAAATTAGACAAACTGTGAAAACTTTTCTGTCTGAACTATCAATTGAATTGCAAAATAAACAGGAAGATTGAAGCAATACCCTTATTTCTCCTTTGTCATCTCCAGTGGCCAATAATTTGTTATTACGAGAGAAAGTACAGCACCGCACACAGGCTTCATGACCTTTCAGCTCATGAAGAACAGATGGACTTTGAAAGCTCCATATCTAAATGGAAAATATTACAGAAAAGTGAAAAAGATAGTTCAAAACCATTAGTATTCAATTGTACTTAAGATCTTTTTATATATGTGCATACATGTGTGTGCATTTACGTATGTATTATATCGTAGTCTTTTTATCATCTGAATCACACAAGAAGGCATTTACTACCACATGCAAGTGTATTTTTTAACCTTGGAATATACTCTAATCAAACTGAGTCATTTACAAGAAAGTTTCAAGCTGTTCATAGGAAAAGAATTCATCAATCAGCTTAAAGCTAGATTTTAGAAAATATAACAGGACACTTTAAAAATCTAATGGGGCAGAATATTAAACAGTTCACTTTTTGCACCTTGCTTCCAAATGGGAATACCAGAACCTATGGACAGCACTTTCACTGGAAGTTCCAGAAACTTTTCTCAGTTTAGGTTTCCAAATTAAGATGTTACACTATTAATAAATCAATACAGAGAACTAAACAAAGTCTTCTCCACAAGCTTGTGCACTAAATGTGCATTTTATTTGTACAGAAGTCACCAGGACAGCCTTAAGTTATATCCAAGATGAATACTGAAATAACAGTAATAGCTTTAGAAACAAGTTCACAGATGTAGGAAATTTAATACTAAAAATACAACAGCATAGCTTAAATAATCACTAGTCACCTCAGAATAAAAGAAAATACAGCATATATTTCAGGACAAATAAACCATCATTTTTATGTGCTTACAGACAGTAACCAACCTTTGCAGTTTTGTCAGCAGAAGTAGATGAAAATTTACTACCATCAGGTGAAACAGCACAGGAAAGAACAGTGCCTCCATGGCAAGCAAAATCTTTTTCTATGTTGCCAGTAGTGATATTCCAAACCTAACAAATATAGAGGAAAACAAGTTACTTCTCTAACACTGTAAAATGGTTAACGAACCTGCATCTTACACAAGAATATATAAGAGATAAACTCAACTACATAGTTCTAATGTGGCAAATATTTTGTTGTACTTAGTGGTATAGTTAAAATAAAAGACTGTAAACCTTACCAGAAACAGAAAATGCAAAATTGCGTCTTAAAAAGTCACCTCAGACTTTAGAATCGATTCAGTGAGATGTGTGGCAACACAAAGTGCAAAAATACCAAATGTTAGAAAAGATGGCGAGATGTATCGTATGTGATTTGTCAATTCACAGCCTTTTATTTACCTTAACGGTTCCATCAAATGACCAAGAAAGGAGTTTTGAATTTTCCAGAAGTCTAAAATCCTTGATCGCTTCCTTGTGCCCTCTTAGAAGCACACATTCATCCAATTGCCAATTCCATACCTAATCATAAAGATGGAATACTTTAAAAAAAAATTCCCAAAATTTTAATGGCAAAGGTGAGAAGAATTAACTAACTGACTTTTAAGTCACAGGAATAATAAAAAGTTCTTACGGAGGCAGCAACTAATTAAAAGGTTAGATACTGAAGATATCCATAGGAGAGATGCTGAAGACTGAATATTAAATACTATGGCATACTCAATCTATGAGAAAGTTCCCTATAATAAACACAATCTGATTCTCAAAGTGAATTTGATGCTTAAAATTTACTGGCACTTTAAAAATGAAAAGCAAACCAATAATTTTCTAGGCATCCCAGAAGTTTGGAGTTTTAAACCTTCGATTATTGCAACAGACTTCCATCACCTGACAAACCTCATATTATCTATACTTAAATTAACTTTATTCTATATTGCTAAAGCATATTTTTAATGAAATGCCATTTTGCTTTGCATTTTTATAATAAAATGACACATTTTAAATTCAACTATTCACTGATAACTGAATAAGTTCTTGAAGTTTATTTTACAGAAGCTATTAAGCATCAATTTAAATTCCAATGATTTTATAGTTTTCAAATTAATGGGTTTTCTGTATCGAAGTTCAGAAAGCAGAGGTGTTCAGACAACGCTGGAGGTTTAACTGAGACGGTGTCCACTAGAGGGAGCGGACGATCCAGAGGAAAACCAACCTGAAAAGGCTCCCAAAGCCGATAAACTGATGAGCCGTCTGTACTGCTTAATTAACCGCAGCGAGGGCACTCAAGCTAGCTTCAGATCGGATGCTGCTTAGGTTGCATGTACATCAGCAAGTAGGTAAAACACTGATATTGGAACGGATTTGGTGAGAAAAACAGTGCTGAGAACCAGCACTCACATGTGTTTTGGAGGCTTTATTTAAAACTGCTCAAATTTGGCTGTGTGCACCGAATGCTGATTAGCACCTGCAGCATGTGCTCTAGGTTTAGGAATTCTTTCAGTATGCCTGTAACTGCTCTGAAGTGCAAACTAAAGCACAGTATGCATGAATGACCAGAACATTCATTTCAGAAATACATCCCAGCGGTGAGCTAAAATGCTAATACAGACACACCAGAATGCTTCACCAATGCCTATCTACCCTGCTGAGAGGCAGAGCTGATTAATTTGAGACTGCATTAGTGCAGCCACTCTGTTTCTAGTTAGTATCTGTATTCAGCACTGGACTGGACTAGGTGGACACACTAACCTGCTCAGAGACAGGTCTTCATATCTCCTTCAATGTAAGCAAGCCCACTGACAGACCTATCATGTATAGACAGTTCTGGGTCTCATCCCAGATCCTCTACTCATGCAATCAGAACAGTGTTGAGTAACCTTTGAAAACTAACATTCCTTTCCCCATCTTATAGGAGTTGGTGCCTTTCTGTCATCCACAGCATTAAAAATAGATATTGTGTAATGCTCATTATCACATAAGGTATAAATAGAGGCTACAGTTTCTACAGTCTCTTGTTGCAAGATGAAGCAATAGAGAATACAGTAGTCATTTACTAACTTTATATTATCTATAGTGTACAAGATCTTTTTAAATAAAATGTAAATTATAACTTTATCTTTTTAAATATCTTCCAAACCTGTATAACTGAATCATGAGCACTCGAAATGAGAGTCTGATAATCAGATGTAAATTGACAACGCTGCACTGATGTCTTGTAGGCCTCTCGGGACTTCAGAACTTTCCCATCCAACAACTGTAATACCTTTAGAATTAAGAATGAAATAATTATATTTATTTTACATACTTGAGGAAAAGGAAGAAAATAACATCAAATTATTTTTTAAATAACCAGGATTGTGAAGACGTGATTCTCAGTCAATGGTCTGGAACAATAAAAAATTTATATTAGCTTACTCCTTGGTAAAATGAAATTCAGAACTACACTATTAGCAGTACCTTTAAATTACTGTCATTTAGACATCGTTCACAAATGTAAAAACTTTGAAGTATTATATTGAAGAATATTATTGTACAAAGTTACTTAAGTGATATTTCTGTAAAAAGGAAAAGCACCAAGAAGGATGTTCTCCTTTTTAAAATCAATTTAGGATGTAATACCTTTATTGTTCCACTCTCCTGTCCAAAAGCTGCAAATTTGAGATCTTCACTTAAGCAACAGCAGGAAATGGGGGATTCTTGAGCTCCTGTCTGTATAACAACACTGTCTGTATTTCCATCGATAAGCTGCAAAATAGGAAGTTATTACAATATCTTTAAATTCAAACTTAATTAAAATATAGATCTAAGAACATTAAAGAGAACAGTATGCCAATTTCAAACTCTGAATTATAAAGACGAGTTATTTTCATAAACCAATTGCTTTGAAGGTTAGTGCAACTATCTTCATAGAATGCTCTCTGAACTGGACAAGTTTGCAAGAGGAAATTCATCTCAATATTAGAAGGCTTTTTAAAGTTTGTCTGACTAGAAGAAACAAAATACTACTCCTGAATTTCAAAAGCCATGTAGTGAGCTCCACACTCAAATTTATTTACCTTGCCAGCCAGATTATATAACACATGCCAAATGGAGCACAAAATCCTCTAAGTGCATCCTCTAAGCATGACTTTAAATTTACTAGCACATATAATACACCAAAACTCAATTCAGTATCACTCTCAAATCAATTCCCAGTTGGGAAAGGAGGGAGAAGAGAGAAGTCTTTAGAATACAATGATTTCCAAAGGTTAAGTTTAGAAAGCTACCAGTGTGAAGTGTTTAAAAAATAACATACTGTAAATTGAAAGGTGACTAGAACCACAATTTTGAGAGATTACAAATTACAAAGGGTAAAACACCACAATTGCAAGAAAGAATGCTTTTAGAGATGTGATAGCAGAGAAATATTGTTAAACTACAGTACACATGCTTAACTGCAATTTGTCTTTTCAATTTCTTTTCTTGTGCAAGGGTAAAGGAAAAATCTATTTTCTTTCTAGAGTGGAGTCTTCTCTCATTACTATATTGCTACAGGATGTCAGAATATTGTATTTAGGGTAGAAAATCTAAGCACCATTTCCTCTAAGAAATATTTCACGTAAAGTTACAACAGAGATATACTAATCACAAACAAACAGATCAGTCTACTAATTCAAATGAGAGCCAGACTACAACATTACATAGTAGTTGCTACAGATTTTACAATTCAGGACTCCAAGCTCTCCTAAGGCTACTGGCAGACTTGGGCTCACATCTTTCATTCCCCCAATTTGAAATGACTGATTCAGCTATTACACAGCAGTTCTGTGCATCATGTACATGTGCTGTGTAACACATCTGCACGTCTATACACGCTGCACACACTACATATTGCTGTGCACATCTGAGCCACGTGGAGGGTTCACAGCTTCCCAGTCATGAAAACAGTTCTGGTCCTCTGCATCCAGATTCAGTTTTGACATCTGTGTGGAAATTTCCCCTCAAACTTCATTTTTTGCTTACTAAACTAGGCAGAATTTCTAGATATAAAAATGCTATCATACATTAGGAATTATTTGCTACAAATTCCAAGTGTTGACAGCCATGAACAAGCAGTACTTGCAGTGCTTCCTCCATTTCCTGACATTCGCAGATGAAATTCAAATGCATTAACATATTGAGAAATACAGCTTACTTGTAAATGCTTCTGATTGTAAATTGCCAAAATCGTCACTTCATCATTGTGAAATACAACATCTAGTTCACTTTTTAGCACAGCATCAGAAGACTTACACACCTTCTTTGTTTCCCAAATCTGTTGAAGAAAAAGTATTTCATTAACTTTATTAAAGAACAAAATACAAAACTGGCTGAGTAAGACTAAGTAAGCCAAAGACTTATAAACTTGCAAGTAACACTGATTTCTAAAATCAGTGAAAATTTTATTTCTGCTATTTTCATTTACTAGGTGAGGTTGTGCAATTACTATGGCGATTCCAATGGATGAAACAGAACAAAATTTTTTTCAGGATGACTAGCTGACTCCCCTGTGTTTCGAGTCTATAGCTATAAAGTCTACAATTTTCTAATCCAAAGCAGAATGTTAAGATCCAATTACAAAAAATACCGAGTAGAGGTTTCTATACTTCAATTGCTTTCAAAATTTAAAGACTGTAAGTGTCTAATTAGAAGAAAAAGAAACTATATTTCTGCTTCCACAGGTTTTAGTGAGGCATTACAATTATAGAAAAGTATCCTGACCATTAATATGCAGATACATTTAACAATGAAAACAACTTCAAGTGTGCTAGGATCCTTAAAAACTTCAAGATTTCTTATTCAAATAATATCTTAAACAAACCAGGTTACAATTACTCTTGAATGGCTACTGGACTTCACAAATCCCATAGATATACAGTAAATTTAGATAAATAGTAAAGTAAAAACACAAGCTCATTTTACTGTATATCTAAATAATTTTATAACAAATATCTAAATATATATTGGCTATAAGTGAACATAAATACTAAATATATCATATCAATATATTATGTATATATTATATGTGACATTTTTATTAAAAACAACTTTGTAAATGCGTAATTTGATAATATAAATTCACATTTTTCAGAATGGAAAATGACATCTTACACGTATTGTCTGGTCATCAGATGATGTCAGAAATAAAGATCCATCTGGCGAAAATGTCACACAATGAACCCAGCTCATGTGTCCCCTGCAATATGCCACTTTTGATAAAGATTTAATATTCCATAACTACAATAAAAATATCAAAGAAGAATTCAAATGGATTTAGAATGTAAATTACAGGAAAACAATGCAAAACAAGAAGCAGTATACTTAATTACTATTTTTCTAGTATTTTATTACTTCTCATTCTGAAATCAGATGTAATGAACTGTGCCTGCTTATCACATTTCGGTGGACAAGAAAACTGCATCAGCAGCCTCTTTGACTGCTATAATTTTAAAAGCGGCAGGGAGGGGAAGAAAAGCCAAAAAAAAAAAAAAAATAAATAAAAATCACTCACAGCATAAAAAAATGCAAGTTCGACTTGACCACAGAGATTGCAAACCCCCCCCAAAAAAACAAGCAGCAACAACAACAACAAACAAACAAAAAAAAAAAGAACCCCAACCCCAAAACTAATAGTTGTACAGGCTTGCTGAAGCCATGCTAGTCCCAAAGTTACTCTAGATATTTCATTCCTTTTTAGTGAGTTTCCACATTCTTGTAGCAGCATATGGTAGAGCTTGGTTTGTTCTAAGGAACACTCGTTAGTGTGACAACATTAACTTTAAATAAATTTAGTGGACTGCTGTTTTTGTATAAACATGAGTTCTGTTGTCCAAAATGACATATAACTTTAAATCATTATTTCCCAACTTATATTTTATATACCAGAAGCAAATGAAAATTAGACAGAATGAAGTACATTTGTTTCCCCTCTGCATACAAGAAACTATTAAGACAAATGTAACATTTTATGTTACAAGTAGTTTTTCCAGGTATACTGTAGAAAAGACACTTACCTCAACAGAACAGTGAGACAAAGCAACTGCTACTAACTCATCATCAGGACAAAAGTCACAGTATTGGATTGTACTGTGATGACTCATGATGACCTGTGTTAGCAAATCCCATGTTTTAACACCAAAAAGCTGTGAACACAGAATCACAGTAATTAGCACCCAGTTTGAATAACTTCACTAGAGACAAATACCTTGTATGTTCAACAGTGTTCATTCTTTAATTCAGAAGGTATTCCCCTCAGTCAATGAATTTGCTGGCCACATATTTTTACTTTACACACATTTTAAATCATGCATCTCATATGTGAAATATATTAATGGACTAGAATTTTATCTTTAATCATAATTTCTAGGTAATTGAAACATACTACCAATACCTAATTGAAATATACTACCTCCAAAAAAATTATTCAAGTGAGGTACTTACCAAAAGCTTATTTTTGGCTACCACCAAAATCATGTCACCATTTCTGGACCAAGAGCAACATTTTACTAAAACCTCCACATCATCTGTTTGCTCATCTGCATTCTTGAAGAAGTCTTTTATCTCAATACTTTTCAGTTCATTTGCTGAGCGTACTCCCCAAAGCTGCAGTAAAAAGTAAAGGAAATACACAAAACCTCTTTTCACCAATGTTGATACAGAACTCAACAGAGGAGAGCTAACTCCCAATCACTTCTATGAAAGAAGAGGTGTGGGGGTTAGAATATGAAAAAGAAAGCCTTTGCTACCTTCTCCGGTGAAGAAAAAGCATTAGAATATTCACAAACCCAGAAGGCTTAGACAAAAAGAACTAAAAACCACAAACTGGAAAAAAATAAAACAACAACAACAACAAAGGCTTACACTGTAGCAGAACCCTCTCCCCGTGTTCCCTCATTCCAGCTACAATCCTGTCTCAATATCTACTTAACAAAATAATAAAACAAAAAATAATAGCTGCTTTGCAACTCTTTATTAAAAGCCCACTCGCCATAAGAAATGTGGCATACATTTAGCTTTGCACCTTAATTTCACTGAGGGACCTGCCAAAAATCTACTACTTCTGTTCTCTCCACTACAATTTTCCTTCTGAATAGCAACAGCTAAAGCAACTCTTCCTTCCCGATTTAGCAACAATACAGAAAAATAACAAGTGTTTTAAGAACTGCAATTCTGAAATAGTGTAGTCCTGTTGCAGCCGAAGGCAATAAAAACAATACTTACATCCTAAGGAAAAACACATAAACCTCTTAAGTCACTTCTAGTCCATATATGAAAAACAGCACATAGAAATTGCTTTTATGTTTACAGATGATTCATTGACAGAGATAACAGAACTTTCAATTAACCTAAAAACTTACTAATTTAAAACAAACAAGGTTCACACACACACATCCAGTCTTCTTAACAAAGTATATTAGAGGAAAAAATGTAAAATGTGAAAAAGGACTGAAACTGAGACTAGCTAGGATTTAGTTACAGGCACCCAACTTTTTTGCTGGTATTGGACAAGCTATCTTGCATTAATATGGGACCAATAATCACATGTTTCAGGATTTAATGCATTAAAGCTGATCATGCAGATACAGTTTTCTCACACATATTCTCTTATACATTTGATACCAAAAAAAAAAAACAAACAAAAACCCAAAGCCATCATCAACACAAACACTTGATTTTAAAACACACTCTGTACCTTTACTGTTCCATCTGTTGAGCAGCTAGCAACATATTCATCATCTGGTGAAAATCTACAGTGATTGACAGAATTTTCATGACCCATCATTGTATTTCTACAATACTTTTTGTTCAAATCCCAAATCTGCATGAGAAATAAACATATAAATATCACCATATTAAAGAATTATTCAAAGACAGACTGTTCATGCTCTTCTCAAAATCATTCACTAACAACCAAAATTTCAATTATTTTTTTTCCTTAGTTTTACCCACACCCTCATGGATTTGATGTTATGCCCTGCGCTACCCCACAATTTAACTCCATCTGCTAATGTGCATGAAACTATTAACATCAGAATTACATACACCTAGTTAAACTTCCTGTACAGTGCAGACAACGCCCTTGAACAGCAGAAAGTTACTGGAAGTTTCGTCAGACTGAGGAAGAAGCTTCCTCTTGCCTCTTCCCCTTTCAACTTCAAAGTTCAGAATTCTGTAGCTTAGGCATAATAACAAAAATTAAATCTCTTGGGTTAGTCTTAGCCGGTCTGAATATCATCCTTGCCACTTCCATACTAACAAAGTTAGAAGAATCCTAGAATCATAGCATGGCTTAGGGTTGGAATCAATCTTAAAGATTATCTAGTTCTAACCCCTCTTGCCATGGACAGGGATACCTTCCACTATACCAGGTTGCTCCAAGCCCCACCCACAGGCTTGAACACTTCCATGTGGTTTTTTGTTTAGGGCTCCTTCTCACCACCCCTCTCTCACACACAGTTTTCCAAGTCTATAGCCCAGGCTTCCTTTCTTCACGCCCAAATTCCTTCACTTTTTTCCTAATTTAAAGAAATCGTACATTTGAGAGTTCCAGTGAGAACTCAAAACAAGAACCGTCACTTTTATGGTGTTCTCTGAAAATAAAAAAATCAGGTCCTTTTGATTATTGTGCATACGTCAGTTCTGACATTCAATACAAATGAAAAGTGTCAAACACTGTCTAAAATCCTAAAATCTCTATTCCTCCTAGCTACAGCTGGAAGTGACAGTTGTCTCACTAACAATTTCACTCTTTGCTGCACTGAAACTGGGCAATCAAGGCACTAGAGGAAACTAAACAAGCAGAAAACTGATCCCACCACACAGAAGTATTTGCAGAGCTAGGTCCTTGACCACACTATTGCAGATCAGCACATGCACTGCAACAAAGGCAAGTATTTATTTATAGCCAGGACACCTTCAGTGCCAGTTAGCTATACGATTCGCTTAGTTGTACTGTGAAATTGCACTCGTATATGTCACAGTCTAGGCCTTACTTGATTCTTCTGGTTTCTCCCTTCCCTCAGATGCAGCCTCCCAGTCTGAACAGTGCCAGATGGTTAACATGACAAACCCCTTGCTTTGAATACTGTTTTGTTGGCTTCCACCTTCATTTCTTTACTATGTCAAATCAACTTCATAAATAAATGTAGCTGCTACACTTCCATAATACTTCCCCCCCCCGTCTTTCAGCATCCAGTTTTTCACATTATTCATGTTTTCAATCCTAAATTTCTGCCTTCATTTTTCTTATGCTGTTTTTAATCAGGTATTTCATTCCTATGTTGTCCAATTCCCACACCACCATCTAAAAGTCTTGCTAAAGCCTTCACCTTCATGCTCTACCAGTAGAGGAATTGCCCGTTCTCTTTCGCTGAGCACAAACACCCCTCCTGTTCTGCCTCACAGAAATATGATTACAGAGATGTTGTCAGTACGCTCAATCTGTTGCTATCTCTCTTCTACCAGGCTCATTAAAAAAAATAATAATTTACAGTGTTTAAATATATTTATACATTATAATGTTATAACAAGCAGCATGAGAACAACCTCAAATTTTTCCACTTACTTTGATGAAAGTGTCATTTGAGCAGGTGGCTAAAAGATATTGACCACTTCTGTTATTGAACTGGCAGCAATTGACCTGCTCTGAGTGCTCTTCATAAACACGCCTACATTGGCCTGTTCTTGAATTCCAGATCTAGACAAAATTGAAGGATGAAAAAGACTTTTAAATATGTTTAAAGTACTTCGTTTAAAAAAAAAAACAACAAATCTGTAAACTATGCTGAAATACAGATGAAGCCTTAAACCATTCTTAGCACTTCAAAAATGTTTCAAAAATAAAAGGAAAGCATATATATTTACACTTAGAAAAAAATAAGCTACAAGGGGAAAGGGCATAATTCAGATTAGAATCTTATAAATACTGTAATTTCACAAACATTTTGCTACAATAGGAAATAAAATTCCTACAAATAGAAATTAAAAACTGTAAATAATTCACATGTAACAAAAAAGAAAATGGAAAAAGAATTTTGGGTACATTCACCTCATGTTATAGATAGGACTGGACTCACGTCATGCTCTACTTAGAAAGAACCATCTAACAGAAATAAAATAAGTTGTAAAGCTGCATGATGTAAACATCAAGCATCTTTTATGTTTTGTAGTGGATGGAGCTTTTGTATTTCTTAATGGTGAATTATCCACGTAAGATTTGAGACAGTTAAAAAAACCCTTTAGTCTTCAGAATCTGCTCTACCTGATTTGGTTAAACTGAAATCAAAATTCTTAATTTGAAAAATTTGTCTGCTCTGAATTTCCTTACCTTCACTTTTTTGTCAGCAGAACAAGTTGCTACAAATTCACCATCTGCAGAGAAAGCGCAGCAAAGTATTTCGTCATCATGGGCACTTATCTCCAGAAGTCTCTCTCCACTTTCTGCTTTAAACACCTAAAACAATAGACAATAAAATCTGACAACTCACATAGAATTGTAAAATACAAATACAAGTCTGTTTTCTCTTAAACAGCTCTTTTTATAAAAGCTCTCCATAAATTTGATTTATTTTTGAAAGCATAATTTTAGGAAAATGAACATAGTAATTATAAAAATATTTAATGTGAGCTGCAATTTTGTAAGGGTGATAGAAATTATTAGAGAGAAAAAGTAAAAACTGGTTTTTAAAAATACTGCGTATGAAAAGTTTCATTAATGACTTTTCCTACACTTAGTCATTAAGCATAGCCCATGTCCTTTCTTAGTACTTTCTAGTAGTACCTGCAAAACACTGTATCTATTAACAAAATCTAAACTATTCTTCAAAATATAAAATCCAGGTGTATATATAGGTAATATCCTTTAGTGGAAAGTAATAACTTCAGCAGAAATTGATGATTCGGGGAATAAGCAAGGAAAAAGTTGTGAAGAATTCTACAGGATGATGCAAGTCTCAGTCTTGAGCTAGTCACAGGCAATAGAAGGACAGCGGGAGAAAAGTGTCACATCTTAATCAAAATCCCAACATTCTGGATCTGACTTTACAATGGTGAGGGGTGGGGTGGTGAGGAGGGAAATCAGGTCACCCTTTCCTCCTAGATTACATATTCTTAACTATTAAAAAATATCACAAGGCGTTCTTCACAGCAGCCTCCAGGATACCACAGTTCCCTGCTTTTTTCCTTTTTCATTGAACAGGAGTATCAGTGATAATGAAATGGTTAGTATTTATTCAAATAAGAACACAAATACTGAAGTAACAGGAAATGTACATTTACAGTAAATTCTGCAGAACACCTGCTCTTAATATAGGATTTTTTTTTATTTTATTTTACAGAAAAAGTAGGAATAGCTTGAAAACTAAAAAACTTAGGCCACTATTAGAAAAAAACATTAATAACTTCAAAGTTAAAGAATGCAAAAAAGGATTATTGCTAGTTTTCCTATTACTTCATCAAGAAAAATTTAGTTTATATGCAATCCACAGATTTTACTTTCTTGGGTAGAAAATGAAGATAAAAATAAGCAATCTTCTCTCAATAATGAGGACATTTAGTACAGAAACCCAGCACAGTAACTTCAGCACAGCATAAAATCAGTACACATCCATCAGGCAGGTCCTTAAGTGGATGCCATGATCATAATATTGTAGAAGCCAGCAAATAAAAAAATAAATAAAACCACAGTAACAATACATTAAGTAGCCAAATGAACAGCAGCTAAGCACCACTAATGTTATTACTTTAGTACTCAACTTATCAAGCATCCAAAACAACACCAAAGGTTTGCAGAAGAGTTGTTCTTTTCCCTTACCTTCGGCTGTCTGGAATATGGATACTTTACCAGGTTACTGGCTGATTGCTAGTTTTCTTGAAAGCTGGCTTCCTCTCCAGGCAGACTGCTGGCAAATTTGTATTAGTCACTTTCCTCTCTGTCTCTCTTAATCCTCTTCCTAAGCACTTCAGGCCCGTTTCCAATCTAATACTGTCCTCAGCTTCAGGATTTAATTTTTCTTCCCAGATTTCTCTCTTTTGCATAAGACAATTTACTAATTAAGCACTGAAGTTACATAATGTTCATTACTATCCCACAGAAATAGCAAACCTGTAACTAAAAGTCTTGGCATTTCTCAGTTCTATAAAGGTTTACTGTGACTGGAAATAACATTTCTGCAGGCAAATATTAAACATGCTGCGGTGCATTACTTAGGCTCATATTCATATATTCCCTGAAATTTGAGTTTAGCTTTCAGACTAGAAGATGATGCTTACTATTCTAATAACACAACTTGATGCTTATGTAAATAATACATAATTTTTAAGCATTTCTCTCTAGTATGTTCTAGATCCCTAATATCTCCACATAACAGCAAAAGAAGTGACAGGACTATTAAGAAATGTTATCAAATTGGTACACAGCATCTCTTTTCACTCACACATAGGTATCTTACCTGAAGTGTTTTATCAGCTCCACATGATGCTATTCTTTGTCTATCTTTAGAAAAGCAGGCATGGTAAACAGCATCTCTATGTGGACGAACAACCAGACGGTAGAGGTTTTTCAAGGATGTTTTATTTCTACAGGGTAAGACAGTTGATTTTAGACAAGTAGTGCCTTTCTATCATTCAAAATCTATAAAAAGATGGCACATTTTCACATCTTGAGCAGTAAGCTTTACAACAAACCAACCATCCCACTGTATCTTACCTCTCAGCCTTTATGATGAAGTAGTACAGGTAAAAACAAAAAAAACCTGAGTTATTATCACCCTCTAATAGTTACAGCTTAGAAGCAAAGAAAGATAATATATGCACAAGAGAGCAACATGTACTTTATGGGCAAAGCTGATACACTGCAAGACACAGCCTTCCTCATGATATTTTAATGCTCTGATATGTGCTATTTCCAAATATAAATTTCTTCATAAGAATTCTTGTTTCCTGCAGGTTTCCTTTTCAAGCTTATTAAAAAAAATTCGTAAATTTGTTTAGATCTTAATAAACTTACTTTATTTTCATATTGATGACTTAATTCCTGTCATTAGATACATATCATATGACTATAACTGCATTTCAGCCGGAGATTAAGCACAGAATCTAGCACACCTGAAATGAGTCTTGACTCACTTCAACAAAGAATTAGTAGCAATTATAATCATCCTGTTTAGCCAGATCTTAATACCGAAAGTCACTGTAATAAGGTGATTTTGGTGATGAATAGATTGTTACAAGATTATTTTTTTTCCCTAGAGTAAAAATGAATCTATGCACTTCAAGTTTTTATTGTTATCAGTTTCAAAATTCAAGCTTAGCATTTAAATATTGGATAAAACATCTCAAAGAAAGGAGCTTCACTGTAGAATGAAAGCGATTTTTCACTGCAAAATACTGACTCATCTAAGCCAACTATTTTTTTTTCTTTTGCATATTTTAATAAACCCAAAATTGCTGGTCAAAAGAGCAGCATATTCACCTACATATCCTACAAACCATTTTGGGAACCTTGCCCTAGGATTGGAGACAAAAGCATCTGTCTCTGTTCTGGTGATTTCAGTCATGTTCTTCAGTGTAAGTTTCCCACACCAAAGGTGAAAACCCTGAAGTACCTAGAGATTTACTTCTCTGAACTGTGCAATTTCCAGGAGTTTTTGTTAGAATTCTGTTAGCTATGCAAAATGAAACTACCAAATATTCAAAGAGAAGACCTGAAATTCAAGTATGCCTGGATTAACCCACCTAGTTATTACCATATGCCCTGGTTTCAGCTGAGATAGAGTTAATTTTCTCCCTAGGGACTGGTGCAGTGCTGTGTTTTGGATTTAGTCTGAGAACAATGCTGATAACACACTGATGTTTTAGTTGTTGCTCAGTAATGCTTACCCTGATCAAAGACCTTTCAGTCTCATGCTCTGCCAACTGAGGAGGGGAACAAGTAGAGAGGAAGCAGAGATGGGACACCTCACCCAAACTAACTAAAAGGATATTCCATACCACATCATGGCCAGTATATAAACTGAAGGGAGGCACTCGGAAGGCCCAGATTGCTGCTCAGGATGGGCATCAGTCGGCAGGTGGTGAGCAATTTAATTGTGCATCACTTGTTTATTCCTTCTTCTTTCTATTTTCTATTATTATTGTTGTTGTTGTATTATTATATTTTACTTTAATTTCAATTATTAAAGATTTATTTAAATAGGAGAAATGTCAAGATTGGATAGAGATTACAAAGCCTTTTCGTATTTCCCATCTCACTACTTTCAAAAACTTTGCAAGTTAACACAAATGCTCTGTTTTTTTAAAGCGTACATTGTACTAGAAAACCTAAAAGCATACTGTAACATAAATAAAACTTGCACTACAATTCTAACTTTTAAAAAGTATTTAGAGAAATTCCAACGCTTTTTATGAAATTATTTTCATCTTTGTATAGTTATTTACAAATATTTAAATAGGAACAATCATTGAATACAGAAGTAAATAAATTCCTCCATTTTTATATAATTATTACTAATCTGTGGCCTTACATATCCGGAGTTCCCCTCCTCCAACAAGTTCTTTAAAATTATTTCTATTTCTTTTCCCAGGAAAAAAAACAAAAACCCAACAACATAGCAGTTCTAAGAAGGTGCTTATATTAGCCATACATTGTGTTGTACATTAAATGATTTTCTTGCATCAAAGGATCAACATATAAGCAGGTGGACTGCAGCTACTTACATCCATTCCAAATAAAATGCTCCTGTTTCTCTCTGAGCATGTAGCTTGGCTTGCTGATACACCTCTGATGTCTCTGGTTGGCAAAGACCCAGCTGTATAATGTCAGGAAATGGCTGCCGTCCAAGGAGGTGCCCATTTAAGGACAGAAATTCCTGGAAGTTCTCACGTACTGCACTATCCTATGTACAGAGCAGATAATATCTGATATCACAGAAGAGGATTTATTTCCTAAGTCCCCTTTGAGGTTTTTTTTTTTCATTTTCCATACAGCTAATATTCTTACAGAAGTACTTAATTCTATTTTTCTATTTAGTTTTATTAGCAAGTACGTATGACAGACTGAAATGTTTCATTATCCTGTTCAGGAAAGCATATTATCCTTATTTTTGAAACAAAGAATACTGGTGACAGCGATTTACTCAATAAGCAGTCAATATAAGAGACTGTTCCGAGTGGCCAACAAAATTCTACATCTCAAAAGCAGACTGCTATATGTACCCACCATTAGCCACTGCTCTCCACCTTAGTTACTGAGCTCCATGGTCAATTACTTGGGCACACACACTGAAGTTACAACTAAAACTGAGAACTAAATTTTCTTAATTTTTCTCTTCTCCAAATTACAGTTTAAATTAGTACTGGGTTTTATGTTTCAGGTTTTTAAACTTTCTACATATCTGCCATATATACATGCATACAACAAAATGCAACTACAGAATAAAAAATAACGTATTTGTAACAGACTGATCATTTACCTTTTAGTATCATACCTTTTGATCCAGGATTGAACTATATTCTACATATTCATGAATCAGATGAGCAGGCCCTACCAATTCAGTTTTAGCTTTAATCCAATCTAAAGAAAACATAAGATCATGGAGTTCCTACAAGAAATAAAAATTCAAGTTCAGAGCATAAGTTTCACAACAGAATCTACTTAAGAGGAAAAAGAAAAGCACAGGAAATACATTAGGCATTTAATATGCTTCAGTTCAACTGAATAACTTAGGCAATTTCCTTCTTTCATGCATCTTAATCAGGTATGGAAATTCTGGGTATAAAAGACTAAGCTTGTTATTTAAGGGCTGCTCTTTGATACAGCTAGTCAGAGAAGGCATGGGGGTACAAAGCAGAACTTGACTTGCAGCACACAAGACCTAGTTTAAGATAAAACTCTGAAAAAACTTCTTCTAGCTCAGACTAGCAAAGATCACTCTGCTAATACTGATCTGTTGTTCTTCCTAACAGATACTGAATTTGGATTTAACAAAAAAAAAAAATGTTATAGTTGCATTTAACTTAGAAAAAAAGAAGGTTATTTAAAAGGCAATCTGAAACTGCAAACAGAATTGTGACAATAGAACATTTCATTTGGAAGGGACCTACAATGATCACCTAGTCCAACCGCCTGGCCAATTCAGGGCTGACCAAAAGCTAAAGCATCTTGTTAAGTTCATTGCCCAAATGCTTCTTAAAACAGGCTTGGGGCATTGAACATCCCTCTAGGAAGCCTGTTCGAGTGTTGGACCACCCTCTCAGTAGAGAAATGTTTACTAATGTCCAGCCTAAACCTCCCCTGGTGCAGCTTTTAAGCATTTTCATGTGTCCTATCCCAAGGAGAAGAGATCAGAACCTCCCTCTCCACTTCCCCCCCTCAGTAAGCTGTAGAGAGCAATGAGGTCAGCCCTCAGCCTCTTTTTCTCCAAACCAGACACTTCCAAATTCCTCAGCTACTTGTCAAAGGCCAGTCTTTCCAGCCCCCTCACCAACTTTGTTGCCCTCCTCAGCATGCATTCAAGGACCTTCATATCTTAAATTGTGGGGCCCAGAACTGCACACTGTAGTTGAAGTGAGGCTGCACCAACACTGAGTACAGCAAGATAATCACTTCTCTTGAGCAGCTAGCTTTGCTATCTTTGATGCACCCCAGGATGCAGTTTGCCCTCTGGGCTGCCAGCACACACTGCTGACTCCTGTTGAGCCTGCTGTCAACCAGCACCACCAGATCCCTTTCTGCAGGGCTGCTGTTCAGCCACTCCTCTCTCAGTTTATACTTGTGTCCATTCTAGGTGTACAATCCAGCATTTGGACTTCTTGAATTTCATCCCATTAATCGCTGTCCAATCCTCCAATCTATCTAGGTCCCTCTGAAAGGCCTCTTGTCCCTCAAGAGAGTTAACAGCACCTCCGAGTTTAGTACCATCATCAAACTTGCTAACGGTGCATTCAACTCAAAATCGTTGACAAAAATATTGAACAGAGCTGGCCCTTAAATTGCCACCTGAGGAACACCAGTGTATCCTCTCATCTCACAGTTGGATGACTTATCCAGAAGGATGCTGTGGGGGACAGTATCAAAAGCCTTATTAAAATCCATTAAAAAGCTACATCTACTGTAGTTAAGCCTGGGTTTTCAAGAAAGGTTAGAGAAGATTTCTTAGCAAAGCTTCTTAAAAAGGAAAAGAAAAATACAAGCCATTATGATACAAAATACAAAAACTTCTTAAGAACTCGTTGAAAAGATAAGACACAAAAGGTAGAAATATACTAGTTTTCATAACAGACAGTATCAGTGGAGTGCCTAAAGGACTTTATGTTGAGTGTTTACCTATCTGTTCCAAAGCCTGAGAGAAGAAAGGTTCAAGTGAGAAAAAGCCAGGGAGAAAGGCTACGTGGGTCAAGAAGGAAAAGAGGGCACTAGTCAGAACTCACCTTCTGCATATTGGCACCTGCCATATGGTATGCTAGGAAGTTGTACCAGTACATGCAATCCTCTTGAGACGGAACAGGTGTATTAAGTTTGTAATATTTCTTGTACTGATTTACGATGTTTTTATGTAGTTCCTGCAATGTGAATCAAAACACTTAACTATCAGTTAACACTATACCAAGGTATGGATTAGTTTCAGTATTGAGAAAGTATTATTAATATTATACTGTATATAGTTTTGAGGAATAATATTATTTCTCAATTGTAGTACATTAACTAATAAAACAAGAAAAGCTTACTTTCCAAAACTGTACCTAATTTGTCATTTAAAACTTCTCCAGAAACAGTCTCTGGATATCAAAAGACAGAAAAGCAAGCTGTTAAACTTCCCTCTCAGGCAGAGAACAGCTATCAAATCACTCTTCACATTAAATGTGGATAGCTGACAAAAAAAGACCCTTCCATATACAAATCTAAAGCAAGTGTAATAACTTGCCTTTTCTTCATATCTTTTTGCCCTGTCCTTTAAAGCCAATAAATTTATTTGGTACAAGTTATAGGTCCTCTCCCTGAAAGTACTGCCTTAAACTGAAAATAGCATTTCTCTGTATTGAAGAAGAAATTTGCTATTCTGGTAGGCTCTTGATGGATTTGGAATTATCAGTGGGACATTCCATCTCCTGCTGGAAATGTCTTGACAGAAAAATTAAGGATATAGAATCTTCTCTCCTTTTAGTTTCTTAGCTCCAAATGGAATCATCAGGAAATCACTCCACAGTTTCAAGTTGAAAATAAATTGTTTTAGTTAGGCAGCATTAAGTTTAACTGCATTGTGGACCTATTCTATGAACCTACTCTGGAGACTATGTAACAAAGCAACATTTTCTGAAGAATGCCTAGGTTTGGAGAGTAAAGTGAATAGGTCAGTCAATACCCTACCTGAAGCTGATTGCGATTCTTCTCTGTAAGAAAGTCGAGCTGAAGATCATGTAAATAATAATGAAATGACTTCCCGTTACGATCACAGAACAATAGCGATTTGTTAACAAATTCCTGTAGTATATCTTCAACTTCTTCAGTTTCCATATCCCAAAGAATACAGAGAACCTAAAAAAAGCACATTAAGACAAAAAAGAATCAGAACTAAGGGGAAATATGACTTGCATGAATATCATAACAGGCTACCAATTAGCTGACAACAAAACACATGCTAATAGATATAGATATATTACCATTTGTAATAAATTCAGTAACTTACCAATTCTTCCATACCAAACTACAGAACAGATAACACAAGTTAACCCATCTTTTGTGTGTTTGTGCTGATTTATGGTGATCCTGTCTTTTTCTTAAATGAAACAAATTTCACAAAGCAGTTTTTAAGCCTTTAGAGAGCTCAATTACAATCTAATTTACAAGCTGTATATGGAATGCACATTAAACTTCAACATTATGAATACATTTGTTCAGTTGCAATTTTTTTGTTTCACTACTGACAATAAACGTCATGATGCAATAATGGACCTAACCTACCTGATTTAGCAAATTACTATTAAGTTACATACAGCATAAATTATATACAACAATTACAAATTATATGCATTCTTTAAAGTTATTTTTTGTACCTCACTAAAAATGCTGAGATTTCTACATTGCTGATATTACCTTAGTAGGTACTTTAACATCTTTTGGGAGGATAGAGAGGTCTTTATAGTAGTCCTTGTAATTGTCATTCAGTTGATCAACGCTTATGGACATTGCTTCATCAAGGGCTTCATAATCATAAGAAGAAGATTTTCTTATTCTTTTAAACTGCTTATTCTGCAGCTGTTTGAGATAGTATTCCCAGCGACTAGGGAAGTCTCTTAACAATGCACCTATCAAGGATATCACAAGAGGAGAACCTGAAGGAAAAGATTAAATTAATCTTAGAGGTTTTCAGGAACACAATCCCATGGTTAGTCAAGAGGCTGAATAAATCAGATCATTTTCCCAATATGTTGATTAAATTCTTGAGGTGTGGAGGACAAACAAAACATGACATCTGGAAACTCAACAAAATCAAGTGTAATTGGGGATCAGGGAGATGATACTCTGAAAAAAAACTGCCTGCAAATGAATATGAAACACTCCTATTTAGTTAAAAAGTATTTACACAGCATTTCTGTTTTACTTAAGGTGCACAGTATTAAAGCGTGTCCACTCCTCCATTTTTAAGTCAAAACCTAGAAGAAAAACATACATTCACCACTAAATGATATGTTTAAGAGTGGTAAGTATACCTTTGCATTCTCTTACAAGGCAGTTAGCTTGTTCTGGCAATTCTGGTATTTTCATATTCACAAATAGGGATAAAATCTCCAGTCCTTTCTCATGTGCTAATCCACTTTCCACATGAACCTCGTATTTATTGCCTAGACATAGAAACATGGGGAAAAAAAACCAACAAAACAAAACACAAAAAATCCTATGAAATTGAGAGTATTTTCCAAGCAAAATCTGGAGCAAAGGACCTAGCTCATGATTTTTTGTATAGTTTTTTATATGGTTAGTACTGAGAAGACTACAAATTCCACTATCAGAATCAAGTTTGCCTTATAGAGACAAAAAAATTAACTATAATCTAAGAATTAGAAATGCATTATGGGCACATTGTAGCACTGACTACTTAATAGTATAATCACCCTATAGCAGCAGTGTCGCAGAGGTTAATTTATCCTGTTGAGAATCATTGCACTCTTCAGTGTAGACATACAACTTTCAAGGTAACATATAACATTTTCTTCACAAAGAGCATAAAGTCTTACAGGGCAAAATTTTAAAACTTGTGCACAAGTTGACAGACACAGATTTCACTAGATTCTTTAAAAAAAAAAACCAAAAAACAGAGGTACAAATTGCATACAAATACACACAAACCCCATGGTGCAGGACAGAAAGCTGTTCCTTACCTGCCACAGCATCTGTCACGCTCCTGTCCCTGCTGGTGATAAGAACCTGACATTGATTATCAAATGCTTTTAATACCCAGGAATCCCAAACATCATCCAGGATCAAAAGAGATCTAATGCAAGAAGAAATATTGCAAATTTCAGATCAGCTATTAGTGCTACAATACAGTATTACATCTTAATAATGAAAGAAAATTTTCAGAATTTACAAATGTATCACTGAATAAATTCTTTATATAAATAAGTAAATTATCTTATTCCTCTTATGAAGGAATTGTCTTGGATGCTGGGGTTCTTTTTACATAAGCAACATTTTATAGTGACTACCTATTCAAATACTATAGCTAGTCACATTTCTAAGTTACTATAAAGTATCTCACCAGAATAATGTACCTGCCTGTATCTAACAGAGAAGTTACTCAAAACTGGTTTTAAAATGGTCCAAGGGAGTAAGAAGTCAAAAGGATTGGCTAGCAAGTAGATTTATGAAACAAAATAGCAGTTATTTGCATTCTGTGCATTTTGTGGAGGAAAGAAAAGTTACTGAAACCAAATCTTACAACTTGTTTACATGTACTGCCCTTTTTTGGTCTTAAGGAATGGAATTTTCAAGCTACACCCGTCTCTAGTTAAATTGTCCAATTGTCACTGAAGCATGCCAAGACATTTTTCTACAGCTAAATGATGCCTACGACATCAGTGATTACAAATTAGGATTTTATTCTTTATGAAGGATACACATTATGCCACATTTTCGAAGTTGCATATGTCTTGGATACCCATATCTCATTTTTCTACAGTTTCTCTATTAACGCTTTTTGATAAATCAAAGGGGTTTATGTAAGTCAGTATTTTTGAAAGTTTTAACAGGAATGCCTATTAAAGAATTAAATTTCTAGAACTACTCATAGCTTCACCCTGAATAACACTTCCTAATTATTTACAGTAGAACAGGAAAAGGGGAAGCAAGAAGAGTTAGGAAGTTGGTATTAAAAACAAAAATACACACCAGAGAGACAGGTAAGCACAACATAGACACCTTAGACGATTAGACCAAAGCTAATCAGCAAAGTTTTATCAGTTAAAAAAATAGTGGTTTATTCTATTGACATCACCTGTGATATTTGCGTAGCATCAGCAAACGAAGACGATCTTTAGCCTCCTCAATGTTAAGTGGTGGTCTCTGTGAAAGAGTGGAGTCATGTTCTAATCTACTGCAGAGATTCTGAAGTTTTATTAGGAGTCCTGCTTTATCCTGTTTTCCAACAGAAACCCAGTGAACTCCTCCTGGAAAATAACCTACCAAGAAAAGCAATATTAATCATGACACACACTTAATATCAGAAATATTTAACAGCAGCTTACTATAGCAATCAATAACTCAAGTTCAATTAAAATATAAAAGTTTATAGCCTATTGGAAACCAGACTTACAAATTCACCATTAACACAGAAGGATGGTTCGACAAGACCACTATTTTTCACAGAACAGGTTCTATAGGGCAAGTTCCCACAGAGAATTCACACCATCACTGATGCTGTCACCCCTCCTCTCTATATGCCTTCCTGCCTATCCCTTTACAATCCCTGCCACATTCATCTTCCTAGCAGTCGGACTTAACATTTACTTTTATAACGTTCTACTACTGCAGGAGTTCAGAGTTTGGTATGTGAACATCATCCCAAAACAGTGAACAAGAAGGCATCTAGAAGAGTCAGGTGTAGTAGAGGATGCTGTAGTCTCTATCTCTAGATCAAGTTTTCTAACGCCCAAGTCCCTCCTTCTCCTCAGTGTCCTATAGTGGGGGAAGAATAATCATTAAATGGTTTCACTTCTGATCTGCTTTAAGCTAAAGTTATACTAGTGTAATCAATCCACAATTGCTTGCCATTATAAAAATATATGCAAAAGTTAGAGCAAGATTTTTTAAACTCATGTAACAAGGAGAACAGTCTAAGGACTTAATGAGCAATGCCCAAAATTAGATATGATGCTTCTACTCTCATAAGTCAAAGCAGAATCCAAAGTAAAGAGCTATTCGGAATCTTTTCTCATAAATTAATAAAAGACTTAGCGACGTAGAGCACTCAATGATTATGAAAGCTGTAAGTTGCAAGGAAACATTTCAGAAGCACCTATGGAATTTAGAAACTTAATTCCTAAATTACTTTCAAGATTACACATGATAATTCACCATGTATGTCTAATACACATACACCTTTAGTCATTTTTATACAAAATATACACGTTTTTCTAAAAGTACCTTCCAAGAGATGATGATCCCTTAAAGCTTCTGCTGTTAAGACAGTCTTCCCACAACCTGCCATTCCATAAACTGTGACCCAGCCCGGATCACTTCCCAAGCAGCACAGCTTCTGTTTAATAGCATCTACCAGTTCTGGGCGAGTGACAAAAACAACTGGTCTCTGTGGTACACCTCCTTCACAGAGAATTGTCTTAACTGAAGTTAAAAAATGAGAAACATGAAAATAAGAAGTAACTTCAAACCAAACTGAACAACTCCCCACCCCAACAACACTACCCGCACCTCATGTCCCATACAAATGTTCAAAAAAACTACTCAACTCACAGCACCAAATACAGAAAAAATACTGCTTTTTAGAAATATATTACTTAACAGGCAACTAACCTCCCACTTACAGTAGTGTTCCAATTATTAACTACATACAAGGCAAGCTAGTTACATCAATCCCTAGAAGTGAAAAGATAATTAACAGCTCCAGTAGAAACTGTGGTAAACACGACAGCTCTGCTATACCCAAAAATCAAGTCACTTTCTCAGCCAGAAGTTACTGATGCATGGATGCAGCAGAAAAGAAAGTGTGCTTTGTAAGGCTTTTACTTAGTAATTAACAACAGCACAGCACTGCGGCTTAAGCAAGACTTCCTTTCATTTAATCTAAGATAGCATGACTTGCAAAGGAGCAGGTAAAGCATAGCAGGAAAGAAAATGTGCACTTTATCACAAAGCAGCCATACGCAGTGCCGTATTATACTGATAAATTCTGGTAATTCTTACTTAGGTAATCAAAATTCCACATGCCTATGATACTTCTTAAAATGTAGCGTGCCAGTAAATATGGCAGTTATTCACATACAGTTAGACAGCTCTTCCCACTAGAAACTACCAATTTATTTCATGTCAGTCAAAGATGATACAGATGACAAAATGGGTAAAAGTTGGGAATTTATGTAGGGTAACTAAAACATCTGGTGGAGAGAATTAACAACCTAATAACTAGATCAGCTATTGGAATGTAGGCTGAGATACTACAGACCTCTCTTCAAGATAATCATCAAAATTTTGGAGGCTACAATATTTTACGTTAAATTCAACTTCAATATATACAGTAAATCTTTCTTTCACATACAACAAAAATGTTACAATTTAGAGAAAATTGCGAGAGCTTCAGGTTTCCCTCTTTTAAAATACACATTAATTATATGAACATTTTCCAGATAACCTACAAAAGTCAACTGTTGTTAACCTGCCTGCCATATTAAATATATGAAATACAGGAAAATACTACTACTACTACAACTACTACAACACCAAAACAAATGAACACACCAACTACTCCTTTTTCATTGGAACAGGTATTACAGTCACTTAGGAAGGAATAAAAAAATGCAACTTGTCTTCACTTTCATGCACAGGGATTGCTGTAGTTACACTGACCGTGTGAAGTCATTCCATCCATCGAACTCTTTCTGTTACCAGAGGAGATGGCAGGGATGCCGTCCTGAAGAAGTGCAGCAAGATCACTGTATCCTTCATGAAGTAGTGCATTATAGAATGATCTATATGAATTATTATCTTTTGTAAGAATAATGTTTATTAGCATTGCTGCTCGCTCCTTCTGTGTATTCTAGGGAATAAAAAAAAACACCCCCAAACCCAACAAAACATTAAAAGAGGTGTTATATAGAACTAAGAGACCTTAGAACTTGTCTAATCTGTCACTCTGTCAATTATACAGTTTATAGTTCCAGAAACAGCCTTCAACTTGACCGAGCCCTTAATTGAAAACTATGAAGTGCAATAAAAACTGCATGCTAAGCATATGTTTAAGAATTTCCTCAATCCAGAAACGAGACAGACAGAAACTACTATTTTTAAAACAATGATATAATGCATGAGTATACTAGGAAGATAAAAAAACAGCGAGAGACAGTTCTACCTGTTGTTTTACTCTCTCCTCCTCCTGTAATGTTAGCACTTCATCAGAAATCATACGATCCATAATATAGGAAGTCTTGATGTCTTTTTCCAATGCTTGGCGATTCATAAGTAAATAATTTCTACTCTTGACATCCATATTTCTTCAGTGTGAAAAATAGAAGAGGAGGAAGAACCAGAACATAACTTACAAGTACAAGGAAAAAAGTTTTAAAACAGCTTATGAATTCTTGTTTTGAACTCATAAAAAGTAGCACAGCATCTGCATTAGTGGAAGACAGAGTGAATCTTCAGGCAAGCTCATATTACAAACTGCAGAGAGCTAAAAAATTTAGTTGCTTTTTTTACCTTCTGCCTTGATAAAGAGACTTGCTTACTTGCTTATAATTAAATATGAATTTAATTATACTGTTTATGACTCAGTAGTCTAGCTCAGCTAAACAGTACAGTAGCATTGTGAAAATACTGGGAAAATCTAATACTCTTTTTCAACAGAATAAAAAAGGTGTATTAAAAGTTAAATTGTAATAGTTCACAAGCTACTGTGGATATTAACAGTATTCTTGAAACACTGTTTAGATGCCATATGCTATCGTGTTCAATAAAACTATACAGCTGAGTGTTGCTGTAATTAATCTGGCTACAATATTTCTCTGATTGCTCCACTTGGACACATATAAAGTGGGTATAAAAAGCATTTCAATCTTTAACAATTATTACACTCATACTAAAACTTCTGTGCTCACTACATGAAGTTTTCATTTAAAAAGCAGGTATGTACTACTAATTCTGAAAAAAAGAAGAAAATCTGAGTCGCTTTCCACATTTCTATGAATTTATGTTGATGAACACTTGCAGACCTAAAGAATCGCAGCCTGTGCAGTCTAGTATTCTAGGAACTTCCTAAATGTCTCCATGAAAGAAATTTTCTCCCCACCCACTACATCCCTCAAATTTTTTAAGTACTTGGATCATGTGAGTGGGACAACAGGATGAGAAAGACAACTGACCTCATGGCCGAAATCACTGGGCAGAACTACAACAGAAAATAAATATCCAGTATACCAAAACCCATGAGATAAACTTGATGCTGTCTCCAAGTTCAGGACTTCATACAGGTACACTCACATCTTGACACATGATAGAAGATGGAGCACTCAACACTGCCAGTGACTGAGCCACACCTTCCTTGTCAGCATTTGATGCCCAACTATAAACTTGCATTCTTCCTCTCTGTCCTTAAAAAACAAGTGCCTGAAGAGGAGAAAAATACTGCCTACTACACAAAGGTTTTCTAGAAGTGATCAGCTGTGAGTTCCAAATGATCTCCCCGATCACACAATCCTGCACAATGACCAAAGGCTCCATAGGCAATTGCAAACTTCTCCACGGAGCAACTACAAAGCTGCCTGCAAATGCGCTCAATTTCTTCATTCCTTCCTTCGGGAGCCGGGTAGATGCAGAACAACTGCCTTTGGAGCAGCCCACGCCGGAGCGCCTCTTTCGCCGTACTCACCGAATAATCTATTTTCACTGAAAATGATGTGATTAGGAAAGTCTTACACCCTCCCCTGACCCCACCGCACCGGAGCGGAGACAGGAAGGCTCCCCAGTCGAGAAAACGTTCAGGTTAAAAATAAATAACTAAATGATAATTAAGCCACCAGTGAGGCAAATACAAAACAAAAGCACCTCGCGAACAAAAACCAAAGGCTTACCTCAGATCCAGACACGCCTCGCCATTACCAGCCGCAGGGAGAACGAAACAGAAACCGGAGCGGTCAAACCAACCCCCAGCCGGGACAAGGAGCTCTGCCCGGCAGCTACCGCAACCTGCCCCCGGGTCAGGGGAACAAGCCGTCTCTATGGCACACAGCTCGGGGCCGCGGGATGCAGTCAGCCGCAGTCCCGCCCTACCTTGCCCGTCTGCTTCCCTCCCCGCCGACTCACCTGGCTGGCAGCGCGGCCGTCAGCTGCCGCCGGCAACAACTTCTGGCCTCACCCTGAGAAGTCGCTACCCCGCAGGGAGGAAGCAGCGCTTCCTGACTACTTCCTCCTTCCGGGCCCGGGGGTGGGATAAGGGCCGACTCGGCCCACTCCCCTCCGCGGCAGCCGGCAGCCGCGGGAGCAAAGCCCGGCGCGCCGGCGCAGAGCCTCCTTTGCTTCGGCGGCAGCGGGAGCGTGCCTGACGTGGCGGGAGAAGCTTCCAGTCGCTCCTAACAGCTCTGACGGGTGGGGCGAGAGGCGCTGGCCCGGGACAGAGGTGTAGCCGCGGGGTGTGTGAACTTAGTCACTGCAGGGTAGAACGGCCTCTTCGCCCTGCAACTGGGGCCGGAGGAAGCCTCCAGGGTACGGAGAGTGTCCGCGGTGGGGCGGGGTGCCCGGCTGCTGAGGGAGGGGGAACGGCAGCTCTAAGCGCTGCAAGGCGGTGGCGTCGTGGAAGAATGGTGATACCGGGGCTGGGTGGTGTCCTGCAGGCCTGCTCCTGGGCTGTGGGAGTTTCCTGGAAGCTTGAGGCGGAGGGAAAGCCGCAGTCGGTCTCTTTCGGTGCCCTGGGCCGGGAGCAGGCAGGGCAGGAAGAGGATGAGAGAGGCTCGGGGGCATCTGTGGGAGCTTGTCTGTCCCCAGTGCACGGGGCTGAGCACTGAAGTTGTCTTTTTAAGGCTGATTTGTTGCTCCTGTATTAAACTATTTCCCTACCTACCATTCAGATCTCTTAAATTTTAGCTTCGTTATACGTGCTCTCAATCCCGAAGGTGTTTTAAATGTTAACAACATATTTTTGATTTGTGTTTGGGTTTTTTTTGGGGGGGGAAGAGAGCCAGAGGTGGTTTATTTCCTACAGGCCAAGGTCAGTGCACACTTCCTAGTACTGACTTTCAAACAGCTCTAAGCTTCGTGCCCTGTGACAGATTAGATTTTAAACAATGCCTTTTACGCCTGTGTGTGACTATGTAAGTATCTCTAATGTTTAAATAGTCGTATTTTGACAAGTAACAAAATGGTGGCAGAAAAGCACAAAGTTTTTGTCTCAGATTGTGCTAAACCGAATCCACCAAGGCTCTGGTCTATTTTGAGCAGCATGGTGAAAGAATTAGACTTAAAAATTCCACTGCCTCCTTCTTGGTTGATTAGAACATGAGGTTGTGTACTCTTTGAAACTGGAGATTCATATTGCTAGAATTCTGTTCAGACCTTCAAAGATGAAATTATGGCTTCCCTTTTACCTAGGTGCAGTGTTTAAATCATCTGTATTTTTCTATTAACTGAAGTCTGTGGCTTTATGGATGACATGAAATCATTACAACAGATTTCTAAGTTAAAGTTTGATTTGCAATCCCATTTTTTAAAATGAGAAAATTCATTTTCCCATTTAAAGTGGAGTAGATAATAATTTAAGAAAATCTACAAGTAAAACAGGATAGTGAAATTGCTGATGAAATAGTGATGAAATTGTGATGGTAATAAACTATAAAAAGAAATATGCTTTCAGTCCTTGTAATTTTTAAATATATCTTGAAGATGGCTTACTGTATAACAGGTGACATATTTCTGGAAATGTAAAAATAGCTAAAGTTTGAGAAGTCAGCTCAGTTTGAGAAAATATGAAAGTGGTGCTCTATAGTATAGAAAACATTTCCATAGTGTCTTATGAAAGTATTATGATACTTCACAGAAGTTGATATAACTAGAAAACATAGTAAACACTGCAGGAAACTTTTTTGGGTGTAACTAAAGGGCAAAATATTATATTTGAGGATATTTAGAAGTAAGTAGTCCTATTTGGTTTTGTTTTTTTCCCTAGAACTCTTTTGCTTCTGCTTGTTTTAAAACACAAAATGTCTGAAGTTAAGCAGAGGAATAAAAGTATTTCTTCATCCAAGAACAATGAAGGTTCACAAAAGGGTGAGACACCAAGTAACTGTGGGAAGCTGGTAAGTTCCAGGACCAGCACTAATCGGAGTTCCTTTTGCATGGACTCACGGACAAGCTTGAGCATGATTTCCCTTGCTGTTTGCCTGGTGCTGACCTGGTAGGTAACCTTCTAAACTGGATTTTAATGTTTTCTTTTGTATTCCATACTGTTAAATCATGGGCAATATGATTAGTTACATTTCTTAAAGTTGTAAGGATCAAGGAAGGAATGGCAGTACTCCCAAGTGTGGAAGCATCAGTGTACGGTAAGAAAGTATAGAAGCTCGATCTGTTCCATCATGCTGGAAGTTTAAAGTTGCCTTGCTCATGAATTCTAAATACCTGCTTTGGAGACTACATCTAACTGTGAAGAGCAACTTTATCTGACAGTAAGTACAACAAGGCTCATTTGGGAGGTAATAAATAATTCAACAGTAGAAGTGAAGTAGGGTTTTATGTAAATAATTTGCACAGCAGGATGGTAAATTGTTCATCAGGTGGAGTCTTCAAATAAAGGTCAAATATCTTTGTAAAGGATGTTTTAGAAGACTTTAGCATCAGTACCTTAGTTCCATCAGAAACTAAGCTTCATACAAAAATGGTTAAATTCTCAGAACTCCAGGACAAGAAATTAGCCCCAATTATTAAACTTTATCTTAATTTTCAGATTGACATCTAAAATTTGTTCTTGTTTTCTGCTTATATCTGGTTTGAATGCATCTAACTACCGTTAGCATTTTAGCTTTTACTAACAATCTATATAGAATATTTTGGATCTTTTGAAACATCTAATTGCTATTCAGTATACTAATAAATATCAACTTATGGAAGCACAAGTATTTTAAGTAAACTCTGTTATTCTAGGTAAAATTGTTATGACTGTGAGGACCCCTCCATAGTCTACAATAAACCTTGTTTTGGGATTGACAACCCTCTAGCAAAATTTGGGGTGTTAGCTTGTTTGTCTCGCTTCTTTTTTAACTGGACAAAGTACTTTCATTTACTGTGAATTTAGGAGCTTTCTAAGCTGTATCTAGAATGTAAATAAAGTACAGGGTTGAGGTCTTTGTTGTCTTCATCATAACAGTAGCTATACAAGCTTTGCTGCAGTGCACCTTATGATCTTGGATGGTTGCGGTTAAACAACATAAGAGTTAACCAGCCTACAGTCCAAAGGCTTCTGTGCATTATTTTATGATGCTTTGCAAGAAAGTCCAAATTAACTTTGTGTATTTTATATCCATGTTAGATTAGATTAAATAATACTGTATCAATAACATGTATTGTAAGATGATGTATTTTGAGCATGTAATGCCCTCCCTATGTCAGCTGTCTTATTGGACATCTTTCCTGTTTGAATGGCATACAGTATAAGAACAAAGCACATCTATGGCTGTTGCCTTATTTTTCTACTGCTATAGGTGTGTGTGTATATATACATATACATAAATATAACTTCAGTACAAAGATAGATCAACTTCATTAAATTCTAGTTTGTTTTTTTTTTTCTCTCATGTATTGATCTAGCAAATTCTGTGAACACAAATCCCTGCAGGAACAGACTGCTGTGAATCAGGTCCCAGAACACTTAATATATGCTACTTCTATAATTTTGTTTACTATTTATTTACTTGCACTTTGCAGGTTCCTGTTTCAGCAGTCAGGTCAATTTGCTGTTATGGAAAAAAAGTATACTTTCTTACAGCAAGAAGCTGAAAAATTCCTGGATGTGGAAAATAAAGTTAACTTAATGTCTGAAAAGGTAAGCAGTAACATCTTAATTGGATAACCTCTGGTGATTATATGCCATTGTTTTACTTTTCTGTCATTTAGGTAAACTTAACTGACTGTCTTTAAAGAAATTTTCGTTAATGTATTCTACTTACCTGTGAATAGGCCTTGGAGAGTATTTCATGTGACTAAATGTGTCAGTTTGTACCATTGTTCAAGTATGTGAATATAGCGGTTGTATCTCGGTATTATTTTTTTAGACACTAAACTATTTTCAGAAACTTGATTTATGCATACTTCATTCTACCAGTACTGTCTTGTGTATAATTTTAAGATACATAGTTTTGAAGAAAATGGATAGGAATTTTTATGTAGTAGACCTTCATAAAAACATGAAGACATAATGAAGTGACAGAAGTAATTTGTGTTTCTATTTTATTTTCCTATCTGCTTGTGACATTATCAAGTGGAACACTTGGGCTGGCTGCTGAATTATTTTGCAGATAATGATGGGAGAACAGCATGACTTATGCCAGTGAAGTTTTAGTACTGAGCTTGTAGTGATGTCATTTATACATGATGTGATGTGGTTATTTATATACTACACATTGCAAGATGTTGCATGGGATTTACATAATGTGATATATTTTACAAAGCAAACAAAAAAAAACAACCCATGGAAAATAAGGGATTGACAACAAAGAAAACTGTGTTTTTTATAGAAATTCAACAACAAACGCTTTCCTGCGACTTCTTCATGCAATGTTAATCAGCAATATTTTAAAGTTGAAGCATGAAAACAAATCACGTAGGAGCTTTGTAACAAGTAATGTGGCTTCTAAGGGTCTTTATTCTGTTAAATGCAAATGGTTTTCTGTCTTACTTTCATGAAGTAGACATGGACATTGTTTTGTGTTACAAATGCAGCTTGAGTCTTCTGAAAGTATCCTACGAGCAGCTGCCTTGCCTGTCTCTGTGATGACTGAGTTTGAGCAGGAAATATCTTCTCTTCATAACATCATAAATGATATTCAGAACAATGAGCGGACTCTCTCTCTGAAGCTGCAGAACATTAATGAGAAGTTCCAAAATGTTACGAATTCCTGGAGAAGAAGCTTGAATGAAATGAACACTAACACCAGTGGCTTAAAATTGGAAGTTAAATCCATACATACAGGAGTTACTTTCCAAATCAATGAAGTTGACCAAAGAATTAAATCCTTTTCAGAAAGAGTAAGAGATTTGGAAGACAGTACAGCCAGAAATATAAAAACACTGAAAAGGCAAGAAGATGAAGAATTCTCTAGAGTTGAGCAAAAGTTGGACTCGCACGCAGAGGCAGTTGAAAAGCTAGAAAAACAACAAAATAGTCTGTCAGCCAAGGGCAGAGACCTGCATCAGAAACTTGCCAACTATGAACCTAAAATTGAGGAGTGCAAGACCCATTTGCCAGCAATTGAAAATGCTATTCACTCTATTCTTAGATTGTCAAGTGAATTGCTAAGTATGGAGAAACAGATACAGGAGTTGACAACACAGCTACATACTGTGGAAAAGGATATGTTGAAATCCATTTCTGATACGGTGGCCATGCAAAAGGTTCTTGAAGGCATGCAGTACAATGACAGCATATTGAAAATTAAGGGTGAAATACTGGTTTTAGAAGAAGTCATGCATGACATTAAAGTATCTTCAAAAGAAATAACTTTGGGGAGCTGTAACTTAGAAAATGACCAGAATGGGGATAAGTGAATTGGGATTTACAGCTTTCATTGCTGAAAAAGCACTTTATAATAATGTGACTCCAGCATAGGTTAAGGATAGCTGAAATATTGTCATTAATGTAAATAGGCATTAGATTGAAAGGCAGAGTTTTTATAAAGAGGCTAAAGAGCAATAATTTTTATTTTTTTTTAAGGAGGAAGGAGTATCATCTTAAGGATTATTTTAGCTTATTTATTAAAAGTTCATTTTTATTAGGAACTAGAAGCAAAATATTTAGCGATAAAGGGGGGAAAGATGTCAAAACTGAAGACATCAGATTACAATTTACATTCAGTTCTCACTGCTTATTTTTTTATATTGTTATGTTTTGTATTATATTCCATGGACAGTTATATTACCATGAACAATTAAGTTATTTCTAGTCAGATACACATGTACTTTGCTTTTAATGTATTATATGCCATAATGTTTTTGTGCTTACAATACGGACTTCTGAATGTCAGAGTTGTTACTGGCATCCACATTATGTGGAAGAACACACCAAGTACATTTTAACAGCTGCAGCTTAGATACAACAGCTTGACAGAAAGCGAGTACCCCTTATGGAGAAACTTGTACTGGTATTTATAAGCACAGGGTTATGTAGCAGCTGGTGTTATCATTCATTTATTTCACCCTGTGCAAATACCCTCCTCAGACCTAATTTCCATCTTTTTCGTACTTCCTGAAATCACAGGCATAGTTTTGTTCTGCCACTGAAGTTGTTGGACTACATGTAAACTGAAGTTCTTATTTACAGATCTTCCTGTTAGGTGGTTCTTCAGCATTTAATTTGAAAGTTTGGTGTGATCAGTCACTGAGGTTTTTGGCTTTTTTTTTGCTTGTTTGGCATTTGTGAGTTAGTTTGGTTTTTCTGGTGCTGTTAGAAACAAGTTTTAACTTCTGCAGAATATTCTCCGTTAGACATGTGACATGTCTGGTATTGCTTTGCATTTCAAAGGGGAAAAAAGCCTCAACAGTGTCACTGACATTGGTTCTCAAAGTTTGGTGAACCAAGGGCTGCAGGAGCAGTTAATGAAAGCCATGGAGTTATGTATTTGGGGGCTGGGAGTACCTAATTTATCCGTTGATCTCTTACGTCTACTAAAACAGGATGCAGTACTACCTGATGTGTCTGATAGTTGTTCACTGAAACTTGGATCTCAAGACCACCCTAAACTTGTGTCTACAGATGTCTGGTTTGATAATTTCCTACTTCTGAACACAGGAAAGTAGATTGCTTAGTAGACAGTATGAACCCACATTTGACTTAATTAGGCTAAAGTTAAATTATTCTGGCTGTGTGCATTCATCTATCTAGAACTCTATTGAAATCTTCACTACAGTTAATGTTGCCTATTCAAGAGACTATTAAGCCAGCACTTCTCAATGTTATAAAGTCTATCAGTTTCACATACTTATTACTTATGTACAGATTTGTATCTGTTTACAGTCATATTCAAATAAAATGTATTGCAGTTAATCACCCTGTCCTTGTGCATAATCTAATTCAGAATAAATTGTTTCTTTTCCAAATTCTGCAGACTTACTGGGGATTGAACAGGAGTGTGTCACTCGGGTATTTTCCTTTCTTCCTCTCAAATTTGAAACCCAAACACCAATTGTTAAAAAAAAAAAAATCACAAATAAGTGAAGTAGCAAATGCCGCTAAAAATCTAGCTATGAGTATCCCATCATTATCACAGCTTTGATGGAGGGTTTTTCTATGAATTATTGTGTCTTTAGACAAAAGAGAACCATGCCTAACTCCTTCAGCTTTTCCTTCTATGACCACCATGTTCAAAATACATATAATGATTACCAAAATAAAACCACATTGATTATGATCCATGATTTTTGGATAAAAGAATTATAGTCAGCTTTCTGAAATGTTTCTAAACTGTGTTTCTAGATCACAGCTGTCATAGGCTTAATACAAAAGATTTCCATAAATCAGAAGATTGCATTTGATCTGTGGTTTCAGAGGTCACGCTGGAAAGGCATATAGTGCCTTCCTCTAATGGTTGTTGTAATAGAAAAAATAATATCTGCATTTGTTACCTATACTGAAAAAAACCCAACTTTGTTACAACGTAAGTGTCCCACAGACAGGGTTTGCATTTGTTTTCAGTATCAGATTAGTAAGATACTGTATTAGATACAGCTTCAATTTTGATATATGTTAAGCTACAAAACTTGTAAAATATTTTTGTTTGTATTCTTTTAGTGTGAAAAGACTTGGAACCTAATGGAACACCTGGAAGATCTTCAAGTAATTTCTCACATTAAACATCTGCAGGAAGATATTTATACAATGAAAACGTGGTCTAATGGCATAATTAAAACCCAAGAAGAACTGCAGAAGAATTTAACAGCCATTTTTCATGCCATTTCAAGTGCTGAACAGAATGCAGCTTCTGTAGCAAAAAACCTAACTTTGACCATTGTGGCAGTAAAAACTGACATAAGGCGCATTTCAGGCCTAGTTTCAGATACTACTGCACTGACAGAAACTTTGCAAACACTAGAAGATAAAGTAGGAAAAGGTGAAAAGAAGACAGTAAAGAACATAGGGGACCTGCTTAGCAGCAGTATCGACCGAAGTACAAAACTACAAAGCATGGCATCCAGTAACACAAGAAAAATTGAGCAAATTCAGACAGCGCTGTCTGAGTTAAAGAGTGATTTTAACAAGCATTCCGATAGACTTCTGAATCTTGAAGGTGACAGAGCAAAAGTTCTGAAGACAGTTACTTTTGCAAATGACTTAAAACCCAAGATGTACAAACTTCAGAAGGATTTTCCCATCTTGGCGCAGTTCATAAATGACCTAACGCTGAGAATAGGAAGATTAGTGGAGGATATATTAAGGTGGGAGAAGGAAATTGCTTTAGTGAATGAGAAATTGGCCAATCTAACAAGAGTTCAAACAGATATCAAAGTTATAAAAGATGAAATAACCAAGATTTCAGACATGAAGTGATCACCGTGAAATGCCACTGCCTAAAGAACAGCAGTTTGAGGAGTGTTAGCTCCATCATGTGTAGTACTCAGAAGGCAGTGTTTAAAAGGCTTTATTTAGAAGTGCACCAAAACTGAACTAGAAATTTGTCCTCTTCCTCAGAAAAGGACAGTCATACTGATTTCAAGGGATAAACTATAATGCGAGCAAAAGAAAACATGTCTCTGTACATGTATTTGTCTCTCTGAAGGGTGTCAGGTGCTACATTTAATAAAATGCTTATTTTGTACAATAAAATAGTGTAAAAACATAAATTCCTGAAGAGCTTTCTTTCATGAAGAAAGCAGGACCCCAAACCAACAAATCTTCAGCTTTCCTGCTCCAAAGAACAAAAAGGTGGTTTCCATATGGAGTTAAGAGTTAACCAAACTGCAGTAGCAATTTAAAAGTTGTCCTCTGTTATGCCTTTAAAATGCAAGTTTATGGGGAGAATGGTTTGAATGGCTTTTTTCCCCACTGTTAAGGATTCTGTTCAGGTATCCCAATAGTGTTAATGATTCACTGTTTCTTAGCCTGTGAAATACTACAGCAAGCAGCAGAACTAGCAAAGAGAAGCTACTTAGGTCCCAAAAGGTTAGACTGATCTGAGCCACAGGCAGTGTTCCTGTGGTGAAGAGCAAGAGTTTATAAGATCTGAGACATCTGAAAATGCAGTAGGCTGCAGACTGAAGTAATGAGATAATGGGAATTGATTTAGCAGAGAAAAGGGAGAAAGGTGAACAGGAATAAAAGTAATTATAACAAACAACTAAGAGAGGTACAGCAATTCAGAAAATCCCTATAAATTATATCAGTAAGTACAAGCAGACAGTACAGCTTTTTAACTTCTCACCAGTTAGTCATACCTGAGCATCCTAGACTCCTAATTGTACAGAAACTACAATCATTCCTCACTACTATCCTCAGAAGGCAGGTGATCAGTAATTTCCCATAATCTGCACAGGTATTATAAAACTCCATTTGCCCTTCAGGTACACACACCTCCACTGTACTAAACAATAAGTTTTAGAGTGGCTTTGTAATTATACAGGTCTAAGGATGAAGGCAAAGCTCTTTCTATGGCAGAAAAGATGAGGCAGTGTTAAGTATTTTACAATTACATTTAAAGCAGGCTGCTCACCTTACCTCCCTGGTTTAGTATTGTCAGTGGTGGGCAAGAGTATCAGCTCAGTGAAACTGCAACCCCTTACTCAGTTCATTTCTAGGGGGGCAATTTTATTAAGTGATTAATAAAATACAATTTTATTAAGTGATTAAGAGATTCAGGCAATAATGGAAAATACAGCTATGACACTTAAAACGTTTCATCCCAGGCAGCTGAATCTTTAACTAGGTATGCAGGTATAGGAATGCCCAGTAACAGCCTTGCCAGCAACTTACAAAGGGAACAAACAAAACAATCATCCCAGCAATTAGGTGATCAGTGCTGAAACACAACATGAGCAAAGTAATCCAAACACATTTAAACACCAGAACATCAGCTCAGCCAAGAAGTTTCTACTAGCAACATCCTCCTCCCAAATCACTCAGAGTTACAGAAATCATATTCTGTAACAAGGCCATGTAGCTACTAAACTTAGCTACTCAAGGTACTCGTATTTGCTATAAAAAAAGGATGTTTATTGTTTTCATTGTGGACTACATAATTTCTGTGTAGAAATGTAAGCGAATTACAACTATTTGTATTATTACAGCCTGTTTTAAAATGATATGCAACAAACATTTCAGCACGTATCAGCACATTTGATCTGTAATACAACCTGATACAGACACAGGGGATGGAGTTATTACTCCAAATTTATATAGGCAGTATGATTTAAACCAGAAAGCTGATCTCAGCTCCAGTAACAGCAAGAAAGGATGTTTTGATGTTTTCTCCTTCATAAAACAATATACACAAGCAGCATATACATAAGCCATGTTTTAGAAAGCACTTTGGGGTGTAGTGACTGGTCTGGGGTTTCCCAAAATCAAAATGGAGTGCTCCTCAATACAGAATTTCCCCTGCAACATCCTTCAAAAGCACCACCACTCCCGCACCCCGTCTGCCCAGCTTTCAGAAGACACACCACACATTTTGTATAAAGCAGTTATAAAGTTGACCTTTTAAATGAATTTTAGTACTGCACTTTTCCCACTGAAGTTTATTTAGAATACCGGTAGGTTGACCCTCTAGGTGATGAAGTGTATGTTAAATCCCTTCATCACAAGAATCCAAACAAGCCCATGGCTGAACATTAATGAAGTCAGCACCTGCAAGGAAATTCTCTCTTATGTTTTCCATGAAACCTAGCATTAAAAGTAGCACTGTTTTCCCTTTCTTAGCTACAGAAGAAAAGGGGAACAGCCAGCTGCCCCTTGTTGTCTTATCTCAGATTTACCCTGATAAAATTATCTCAACATCTTTGAAAAGATAGTTTCAGGTCTACCCTCAAGCAACGAGTAAATAGGATTTCAGATTCCCCAATTACTTCATA